GTAATATGTTTTGAAAATAGGCAGAATTCAGGCTAGGCATAGTGGCTCGCTCCTTTGGGAGGTTGAGATCAGGAGTTTGAGACCAGCCTGTACAACATAGTAAAACCCTGTCTCTAGTAAAAATACAAAAATTAGCCAGGTGTGGTGGCAGGCACCCGTAATCCCAGCTACTTGGGAGGCTGAGGCAGGAGAATTTCTTGAACCTGGGAGGCAGAGGTTGAAGTGAACCAGGATCACGCCACTGCACTCCAGAGTGAAACTGTCTCAAAACAAAACAAGACAAAAAACAACAACAACGACAACAAAGAAAATAGGCAGAATTAGTATATTAAGACTGCTCTACAGGCTCCTATAATTAATCCATGTAAATTAAAAAACAAAAACAATGTGGCTTAGAGCAGGATTTATCAGCTTTGAATGTGCATAGAAATCACCTAATGATCTTATTAAAATGCAGACTCTGATTCAGAAGCTCTGGGGTGGAGCTGGAAATGCCACATTTCTAACAGGCTCCCAGCAAAGCTGATCCTGTTGGTCGTCCACCCACTCTGAGTAGGCAGGGCCTGAACATTATTCTGCCATGACATGAATGAAAAGCCTGTGCAGGAGAAATAATGGGTCTGATATGGTCCTAAGAGATGATGACTCAAAATGGCCAGTACTATAAACTAGAGTCAACGGAACTGCCAGATCTGTTTCAATCTTTAAAAATTAAGATGCCTTAAATCCATCATCAATATTTTATGTTTTCTAAAAAATGTAGTTCATGGTTTTCAAAAAAGTTGATTCTGACTCATCTGTTAGACACTGAATAATGTTCTGGTTGATACATTTTTAAATTCCTATCATTTTGAACGTTTTGGGAGGAGACAGGGCAAGAAAAGAATACTCAACGAAAATTTGGGAAGAGAAAGCTTCTATTTATTTAAACATTTACTAAACACCTATTATACCCCAACCACTAAGACCTTAAAATACATTTGCCTTTTTCTTTTCATTTATTTATGCTGGTTTTATCCTGATTCTTCTTTATTATCCTTGGGGGCAATTATCATGTAACATGAAGCATAATCATTTTGCTAGTGAATGAATCAATGAATCCACATCACTTGAAGAAAATTCATCAGCTGTGATATTGACTAAGAAAATGTTAATATTTGAACAATAGCTAGTTTAAATTTTCTTTCTTTCCAGCTTATTTCCAGTTAAGTATATTCCTTTTCCTGGCCTGACATGCTACATAATGATAGTTTCTGAAACGCTTCACAGTAAAGACCTAGTTTTTCCAATGTTGTCCAGTCTTCAGAGATTCTCATGTTGCCCACTGTTAGACGCATGTATGTCTCCTCCACATAATTTCATGGATGAAGTAGGAAAAAACCTGCATTGTTAAATCTAAAATTAACCAGTTATCTACTATACATAAAAGACTAGCTGAATCATTGCATTTATTTCATGTAACTACAAAAACAGTTAAGTTTTTTTCTAAGTCAGAGGCTTTAAAGCCAAGTATTACAAGCCATTCTATTACTGTGGTAACCAATTACTATCAATCGAATGGCTTCAATGACACAAATTTATTATTTTACAATTCTGGAGATCAGAAGTCCAAACTAGGCTAAAATCAAGCTGTCATCAGGTATGTGCTCCTGGAAACTCTAGGAGGAAACCCATTTTCTTGTCCTCTCCAGCTTCTAGACACCTCTCACACCCCTCGGCTCCTGGCTTCATCCTCCATCTTCAAGGCCAGCGTTGTTGCATCTCTCTGTGACTTCCTTCCAGTCACGTCTTCCTCCAATGGTCTCTTGTCTTCTGTTTCCCTATTCCTTTTAAGGTCCCTTGTAATTACACTGGGCCCAATGGGATAACCCAGAATAATTTTCCTATTTTAAGGTTAGTTGATTTGCAACCTTAATACCATCTGCAACCTTAATTTCTCTTTGCCATGTAACCTAATGTATTCATGGGTTCCTGGCATGAGGATGAAAGCATCTTTGGAGGCCCATTATTCTGCCTACTACGCCAAGATAGTGTTCTTTTTCCATTTACTAACTTCAGTTTTCCAAAAACACCTTAGTTCTCTTATAGTTTCTCAATACTAGTAAAAGAAACCATCGGAAAATAACAGTATAAGATTACTGGTAGCAACAATGTGCATTTCAGTTTTTGACCATGAGCTCTGAATCTGTTGGAATGTTCCTCATACCCAAAGAGAGATATGAATACAGCCAGAATGGCCACTGCCACATAACCATCTGCTCCTGGATACATGTAGCCTGAGATTCCTGACTCACATCCTGGTAAACCGATGCCATGGAACATGGAATCCAACTGTGGCCATCAGGATAAATGACTCCTGCATTCCAAGTTGGCAAGAAAAAAGGCCTTCTCGTTAAATTTTTAAAAAGCTAAACCCTCTTGCACAATTGTTCCAATAAACTTAGACCCATTAACATTGTACAAGGCACTAGGTAATAAAGTTTACGATCTTTTTAACATTAAAAGTGAAAAGTAAAATGGCTAAATTATAGTAGCCTAATCTTTTCACGCCATTGCTGAGGATTGACAGGATGGTTGTTTTAACAGCTGTATAATGCTTAAGCTCTAAAGATTCTAAATCCCAAACAATAAGAATAACACTTTGCATGAATGTTTTTATGAAAATATCTTAGACATACTTTCTCACAGGAACACTTGGTTAAAGAGAATTATTATATTTCAATAAGAAGCCACAGAGTAAAACATTAAAATGGCTGGCTAAAGGTCCTGTGCAATCTGAAACTAAATAAGAAGCAAAGTAAATGTTTCACATTTGAATCTACTGTCTGACTTCTGGGATAGAAAAATGTCCTTTATGGTGATTGGTATTTATAATAGGCAAGTCCAATCATTGAATGCTAAAAGATAAATTGTATGGCAGCATATCAAGCTGATGCTATTATGGTTTCATGTCACACAAAGGTTATGAGAGGTTTCTATTGAGCCTTGTTTTTTAATGCACAGTAAGCAATACCAGTTATGAGAAGCCAGCATCACTCAGGTTAACCAACACCCTCAATTTCTACCTCTGTTCACCTGCTGACCCCTGCCCTTGCTCCCACAACACAGCATCTACTGCAAGAGTGATGCTAAGGGCTGTTTCTAGTACCTATGGCTCTGATAGCATCTCTGTATTTTGTATTTTGGCCCAGTATTGCTTCTTAGCAACATTCAAATGGGTCAGCTCTACGTAAGATCTGACTTAGGAATGGGATAAGGCAGTGTCCCAAAAGGAGTTTTGCTCACACAGCCCCTCAAAGAATTCTGAAAATCTATGCACATGTTTTTAAATAACATCTCAACATCCTTAACATAGTTAAGTGTACACACTTGAAAAAGGGACTTGCTTTCCGGCACTCTGTGGGTGATATGCTTGCTTCATATACATATGTATCAGAACCTCAGGGCTGCAGATTTAGGTCATTCAATATATGGAAAATGTCTGTTATCTAGCATAATTGACAAAGCCAATCCTCATTGACAAGCCAATCAACCCAATAAGCCTTTCTGTCAAGACAACTCCAACATTGTTGTTCAATCAAATATGAAGACAGTGCTGGTGACAGCCATCTATCTTCTGGATACTAAAAGGAGCAGACAGAAGAACACACCTCAGAGCCTTGTTGTGTGCTCCTCACTTGGATGAATGGGGAGAATGAAAAGAGAACTGGCAAGCATCACGCATGTTCAGAGGGAGATTAGTTTCAAAAAGAGTAGGAAGATGAGGATCTGAAAATTGAAACCCTTGCAACATTCTATGCCCTGTGAAGTCTTGTGGGACTAAGGGTATGTGCACAGTTTGGAGACTGCTGGGCAAAAGAACTGAAATTCCACTCTGAAAGTATCTAATATAATGCAAATATAAGGTGTTATTTTTAAACCAAAAGCCTCTGACTGCCATTTATTTGAGGCATCCTAAGCCTTTGGAAATTCTCAAAACATATATCAGGTTCTCTTCATCAGAATGGAGAGTCAACAAAAAAGATTATAATCTTGCTGGTGTAGCCAACCTAGTGTATAGTTTTGGACAAACAGTTCCGGAAATTGGTTCTACAATTTCTCTGAGTGCTTTAGAATTTCATTGCTTTTGTTTTAACCCTCTTCCTGATAATCTGTTAGTGTGTGTCTTAGTCACCTTTACCCTGAAATTCCTAGGTCCATCCATGAATCCTAGTTCACTATTGGGCCTTACGCCCATGCTCTGATTCTCCAGGGGGGTTGGAGAGGGCCATTTAGTCCCACAGAAAAACTTTTAAAATGATGATACTAATAATAACCTGTACCTGTCAAGATTGTCATATTGTGCCAACAGAGGGGCTGCTTATGCAAACTACTGTAAACTTGTACATGGGAAGACAGAGAAAAGTGTACAGTCACTTTGGAAGTGCACTTTGAACATCTCTGTTTCCTAATATTTACAGGGTAAAGGTTAGAAATAAATTATTGACAATGGGCCAAAAAAAAAAAGAACAGATGCAAAGACGACAACTTTATTAGGTGCTTTCTCTCCCATATGAGAAGGTTTTGGTTCTTTAAGGTGAAGTTCCAAATTACTAGACAATACCCAATTTCCTTCAGTTGCAGCAAGTTTCATCCCACGGTGGGTGCCCTGGAAAGCACCTTGAGGGCGAATGGGTCTCAGGCCAGTCATGATCAGGTCCGATGCTTTTGTTAGTTGAAGATTCTTCCCGTGTCACCTCTTACAAGCAATTCTGTGTTCCCCTCCAAATAGCCCACCACCTGGCTGCGCCCCACCTCCATTCGTCCCCCAGCTACCAGGTAAAGGTGGATGGTTCAGAAGGTGCTGCTGCGGGGGCAGCCAGGCCTTCACACGTAATAATTGGGGTAGAGGCGAGAACACGGGTGGATGCTGGAGGCGCGCACGCGCGCAGGTGCCTGCACACCCACAAACACACACAGGCACGGGGTGCGGAGCGGGCAGGGGGAGAGGACGGCCTTACCAGATCAATGAACGTCAGGAATTTCCAGCTCCCTCCGTAGGTCTGGTGCGAGGGCATTTCGATGGCCTTGTAGTTGCACAGGATAGAGCAGTAGGACAGCAGGATTGCCACCCGCAGCACCTGGCAGGGGACAAGCGCCATGTTCGCGAGAGGCCTGGGCCGGCTGGGCGGCGACGAGGGCGGGCGGGAGGCGCTGGGCGCGCGGGGGCGGACGCCGTGGGAACCCGGGCGCGGGGCGGGCGCGGGCGCGGGCGCGGGGCGGGGCGGGGGCGGGGGCTGGGCGCGCGCCCCCGGGGACCGGCGCGGCCGCGAGCACGCGGGCGGCCAGTACGGGCGGGGTGCGGTTTGCGGACGCTCCCCACGGCCGGCCGCGGCCTGGCCGCGGCCTGGCAGGCGGCGTGGCGTCATCTCTGTCGTCACCATCGTCATTATGGTCCTGCGTTCGCAGGGTCCTGGGACACCCGGCCGGGGGGCGCCCCCTAGGTGTCCTAGGAGTGGGTGCGACCTCTGGGTGCGACGGGGGTTCGGGAAATGCGCGCTGAGCTCCAGGGGGAAGCGGGGTCTGGGGCGAGTGGGCGCCTGACCGGGCGAGGGGGCGGGGAACCTACACTGAAGGAGGGGACCCCAGTGCCCACAAATGATTCCGCCACCCAGGAATCGCGGCGACTCTTCCTGGGGTAGTTGCAGTTGGCCAAGAGCAGGTGCTTCGTGCGAAGGTATCGGGTGGGCGTGTCAACCCGAGCACAGGCAGCCACGAGTGACTTTCATTATTTTGGACCAATAAGGTTTTCAGTGTTGTCAGGCGACTGTCAGTCACGAGGAAACTGTAAATTCAGCTTTCAATGGTTTTCCACGACAGATTGAGTAAAGTCTTATCAATGTATAATAACATCAGCTAGAATATGAACTTTGGACAAGTGGTTTATAAATAGAAAGCTAGAAAGAAAGGAGTGTCAAGTAATTTTCTGCCACAGGATTGCATTCAGCTTAAAAAAAAAAATCATTCTAAGCTTGGATGTAAAACCCATGTGTGTGTAATTTAATACTGATCTTTTGGGTGTTAAACTGGTTTTGCCCTTTTACTTACTTTTTCCCTACACTACACTACCAGGGCTTAATGGAAGGAAAATAAACATAAACTGGATTCCCTCTTGCCTTCCAGTAAATGTTGTCACACTGAAGTTGCATCAGTTTGTGGGCAACATTTTTTTTTTTAATCATGATCACATTTCAGCCAACCAGATGCAGGGTCAGACTATGAAAAGGCAACGTAGGTATTTCCTGTGGATCCATTTAAAACAGGTGTCCTCTCCAAATAGCCTCTGAGTCAGAGGATGCGGAGGGAGGGCTGGCGGGGGGAAAGCATAGTGCTGGAGGTGGAGAGAGAGTAGCAAGCCATGGATGTTTTCCTGAATGTACCCAATCAAGCTCTAAACTAAAATGAAGAGACCCACTAAATTTTTTAAATTGACATTGCAATTATACTGATAGAATTGATGTCAGAAGAAGATTCTGCTAGCATTAAAACGATGTATTATTGATGATTTTGGGGTCATATCTTAATATAAAAGTTTGGTTTATTTTTTTAATTGTGTGTACTTGGTACATCGTTATAAAATTGCAAAAAAAAAAAGTGGATCTATTGAAGATGTATCTACCTTAATAGGACTTAACGTTTTATGATTTAATGTGATATTTGCAGAATTTGATATACCCTTCCTACTTTACATGTTAGAAAATTATTAAGACTCCCAACCCCACTGCTACAAAATGAAATAATATTTTCATAAGCCATTTTAAAATTTTTTCCTGTGGTCAGTTTTTTTTTTAATAAATACCTATAATGCTCAATTGGGTGTTTAGAACCTATTCTACTGGATTTGCTTTGGTTTTTTCATGATTTGCCAATCATGATAAGATAGTTTTGTGCTTAAAAAAATGAAGCATTTGCATAAACCTTGATTCAAATACTATTTTATGAGAAAGTCAGTTCACAATTTTTGGAACTTCTTGATAAATATTAACATGTCCAGATTTGCTTTCTCTGCTTTCCAGACCATATCTAACAATCGTAGTCATGTTTTACAGATACTTTTGTGGAAAATATTAATCTACACACAGCTTGTATTTTTACAATTCAAACAATACAATGGGTATTATTGCATTTAAAACTTCATTAAGTTATTATTTTTTATGAACTATAATACATTACTCACTTCTAAGTATTCTCATGATGATTTCATATTTGATTTAGATAATGCTTTTTTCTGTGTATAGAAGAAATATTTATATGTCATTTTTTTAGCTTTTTCATTCTACTACACAGTGAGATTGGAGAAGAAAAGCCTTATCCAGTTGAATTTCATGAATAGCAGTAAACATAAGAAACACCAATGGAAGATTTCAATAACCTGTTTTAGCTTCAAGCTATATTAATATTGTTTGATTGTTGTAATATTTCTCAGACTATATATGGGGCTGAAGATACTCTTCCTTAAGTACTTCTAGTAATTGATAGAGACTTTTGATTCCATTTTTTTTGGAAGGGGAGTGTATTAGTCCGTTTTCATGCTGCTGTGAAGAAATACCTGAGAGTGGGTAATTCATAAAGAAAAAGAGGCTTAATGGACTCACAGTTCCACATTGCTGGGGAGGCCTCACAATCATGGCAGAAGGCGAAGGAGGAGCAAAGTCATGTCTTACATGGTGGCAGGCAAAAGAGTATGTTCAGGAGAACTGCCCTTTATGAAACCATCAGATCTCATGAGACTTACTCACTATCAAGAGAACTGCACAGGAAAACCTGCCCCCATGATTCAGTTACGTCCCACCAGTTCCCATCCATAGTATGTGGGGATTATAAGAGCTACAACTCAAGAGGAAATTTGCGTGGGGACACAGCCAAACCATACCAGGGAGGATGTCTGTCTGACATACTGATGATAATACCTATTAATTTTGGAAATGATTGGGACTTCTGTGTCATCCTTAAATTGTATTCCAAGAAGCCAACTTCATATAACTACTAGTCCTTGCTTAAAAGTTCAGGAGGAAGAATTGTATTTATGCATATCCTTACAGTATTCAATATTTACACATTTCCTTTGGTTCTGCTACATGAGATAAGCATTTTCAAACAATATCAATATATTTGGAACAAATTTTTTCCCCATTTATCTGTACTTCAAGGGTGAAAGTTAGGATATGTCCCTTTGAGAGGCCTGAGCATGGGAAAAATCTTCAGTATTGCAGAAAAGATACTTTTGAATTATTTTTTATTCATTATAAATATAGCATATTTATGATACCAAAACGGGAACGTTTTTTAAAAACATTTCCCCCACGCTCTCCACCCAGAGAAAACACTGAACATTTTAGTATATTCCTGCAAGTCTTTTTACAATATAGACTTAGCTGGTTGTGACATACATATAACAACTTGCATCACAGAGATTTCTTCTGTTAAATTTTGTTAAAAATTTAACAAAAATTTTCTCTTATTTAAAATGTAAAAATCATGTTTAATGATTGCATAGCACAACCTCATGTGGACATATTATATTTTGCTTAAACTTTTCTTTGTTTTTGGATATTAAAGTTCTTTTTAAGCTTTCAGCACTTTAAATACACAGTCATGTCTATATTTTAAATTGAGAAATCTGATTTTTTAGGATTATATGGAACTCAAAACCAATTAAGAAACTACACTTCTAGAACCTACTGTGTGTTGTTCATGTGTGTTCATATGAACTGAGGTGACAAGGAGAGTTCTTTTACCCTGGAGAGTAGTTGGGAAAGATTAAGTGAAAGAAGTAGGTTAAAAATTACTTTTTTTGTCCTTACAATGAATGCTCATTACAGCTTTTTCAAATTGCCATAGATAGAAAATGCAGTGCCAATACATTTAATTAGTCAGGTATGCTTTTTATGTTTGTTTTGTGGGCTGTTGTTTTTGTTTTTGCTTTTTTTGTTTTATTTTTGCTATTAATCAGTAAAAGTTGTTCTTTACAGGCCAAATGAGCGGCAGCTACTCGTGGTTGTGTTGATGCTGCAGGTTTTCACTGATTTTAAAATGGACTGTATTTGCTACAGAGAGCTCTGAGATTTCTAAACACAGAGGATTCTATGGAGAGTCATTAAAAAGGGTTATTTGTGCTAGAGTCAGCTCATGGGCTGCAGTTGGCATTTCTGGATTATTTTTTTGAAAGAGAGCCCTGTGAATGTCTTACTCATAGTGTCTGCAGGACCCTGGCCGGCCCACCTTGGAATCCTACTCAAGCCCTCCTTCTTATCTGTAAGAGTTAAGTCTGTTTTGGCTGGAATTGACAACTCTATTCCTTTTCTATTTTTTATAATTTATTTATTTTACTTTAGATGCATACTATATCTGGTATTTCTCCCCATGTTATCCCTCCCCACCCTCAATTGCCTCTTCCCTACCCCTCCCAACTGTCCCCTGTGTGTGATGCTCCTCTCCCTGAGTCCATGTGTTCTCATTGTTCAACACTCACCTATGAGTGAGAACATAGGTGCTTGGCTTTCTGTTCTTGGATCAGTTTGCTGAGAAGGATGGTTTCCAGATTCATCCAAGTCACTGCAAAGGACACGAACTCATCATTTTTTATGGTTGTTTAGTATTCCATGGTGTATATGTACCACATTTTCTTTGTCCAGTGTATCATTGATGGGCATTTGGGTTGGTTCCAGGTCTTTGCTATTGTACACAGGGCTGCAATGAACATACGTGTGCATGTGTCTTTATAGTAGAACGATTTATAGTTCTTTGGGTATATACCCAATAGTGGGATTGCTGGGCCAAATGGAGTTTCTATTTCTAGATCCTTGAGAAATCGCCACACTGTCTTCCACAATGGTTGAACTAATTTACACTCCCACCAACTGTTTAAGAGTGTTCCTATTTCTCCAGATCCTCTCCAGCATCTGTTGTCTCCCAATTTTTTAATGATCACCATTGTAACTGGCATGAGATAATATCTCAATGTGGTTTTGATTTGCATTTCTCTAATGTCCAGTGATGATGAGCATTTTTTCATGTGTTTGTTGGCCTCATATATATCCTCTTTTGAAAAGTGTCTGTTCATATCCTTTGCCCACTTTTGAATGGGGTTGTTTGTTTGTTTCTTGTATATCTGTTTTAGTTCTTTGTAGATTCTGGATATTAGCCCTTTGTCAGATGGGTAGATTGCAAAAATTTT